AGCTAAATGTAACCAAAACAGGTTCCTTTTTTCAAAAGGCCATGTATTAAGTCACAACCAGATATTATGATATCTGGGCAAAAGCTGCAAAATGAGTTCAAAGTCATGATGTAATTGAAGTAGAGACAGATCTTTTCTTCCATATTGTGACGCTGAACAGAGTAAAACAGACTGTCAAAAAATAAAAAATGAAGGGCGGGGACTTGGTTCTACCCATCGGTTGTTGATTGGATGGAGGCAGATATCAATGCGAGCTTAAGGTCGAGTGTTAGAAAGGGACAGGGTTTATAAGGACAAAATGAGATATGATATATATACATGATATATCTTTCAATTAGAAAACATGTAAAAAATGTCAACAGGTATGTGTAATTTAAATAATTTTAGCTTTATTAGAAATGTGTTGAGCCCTGACACTGCTTTGATAATCATAACACATTTCACATATTGTTTGATAAGATGAGCACAGGCTAACAGAAACAATGATGTCACTTTAAATTTTATATAAACAACCCTCTTACTTTTAGATCAGAAACTTAACAGCTTTCATAGTGGGCAAATCTTAAATAAATATAGACTTCAGAGTGGGTAAAATGTGATTAAATATGATAATCTATGCTTTTTTTTTAATGCTTTTAGTCAATCTACTTACCCTTACTATTTAACTGAAGATGTGGCTTGTTAAATATGTGAACACTAGAATACTAGATGCCTACTGACATTTTTGCAAACACTTTTTTTTGGAGTGTGCTAATAAAGTTACAGTTTGTGCTGCATTGTTTGTTTGGTGGGTGTGCATCGTATTGGTTTGGTTATTGGTCTGAATGCATTATTTTATATGAGATATTTGTGATAAATTATTTAATTGAACTTTTTGCTGGCCTTTTTAGGAACTGGCCATGAACAATACATGAAACTTAGCCTATTAAAAAAAACTTACCAAGGCTGCATTATTTTATTAAAAAAATACAGTAAAATAGTCATTTTTAAAAACATATTACTACAATTATTGTTTTCTGTTTTCTAAAATCTTATAAAATGTAATTTATTCCTGTGATGCAAAGCTGAATTTTCGGCACCATTACTCTAGGTTTTGTCACATGATCCTTCAGAAATGATTGTAATATGCAGATTTGCTTACTTTTATCACTGTTGAAAACAGTTGTGCTACATATTTTTGTGGAAACCGAGATACATTTCTTCAGGATTCTTTAATGAATAGAAAGTTTAAAAAAGAACAGCATTTATTTGATATTAAAATCTTTTGTTAAAAATACATTGTAAATGTCTTTACTGTTACATTTGATCAATTTAATGCATCCTTTCTGGAAAATTAAATTTTATATATATATATATATAGGAGTGTGCTAATAAAGTTACAGTTTGTGCTGCACTGTTTGTTTGGTGGGTGTGCATCGTATTGGTTTGGTTATTGGTCTGAATGCATTATTTTATATGAGATATTTGTGATAAATTATTTAATTGAACTTTTTGCTGGCCTTTTTAGGAACTGGCCATGAACAATACATGAAACTTAGCCTATATAGGGTTAACTCTGGTTCATTTACAGAATAATGACTGCTGTCACTGTCAAATAAACAAATGAACATACAGCAGACAAGCATGCGATGCGGTAATGGCAAGCCCTCATACTTTTCAACAGCAATGAGATTTCACTGATTTAATACTTGATGTGCCTTGATGTGATGTTTCAATGGGAACTAACAGGCTATTGAACCAAAAAAGTTAGAAATTATTGCCGACTGAACAGAATGATGGTGATTGTTTGCGTGCTTGATGATTGTTGGCATTGTCTAAGATGAATTGAACATCACATTTAAAGTGACAGACAGATTTACACACCTATCAAGCAGAATAATGCCTGCTGTGGGCAAGTTAAAGCGAACATGACAAGCCATAAAATTGCTGAGAATCAGACCAAAGCTGCCCACTGTCACACAGGTCCACATCGCTCAGAGGATGAAAAAACCTCAGTAAACTACAAAAAGTCGCAAACGAGAAGACAGTTTCGGCCATATAGTAAGCTATAAAGGCTATGAAATAAATTTGGAGAGCAAGCACTGGAGTCTAAAGCACAGTTGAGATCACTTAATATACTCTAGAGCAGATATGTGTGAGAGACTGGAGTCTGGAGTCTGAAATCTGAAAAGTGTCAATACCATCAAAGAGAAACAACTGAGATGCAGATCCCGTTTGTGTTTTTCATTCCTGTGGGGGGCGAGGTCTTGAGAGGACGTCGATCATAAGTGACACGCTGCGAAACACCGACAATTCAAGGAAATTAAAAGCGCTCGGGACAGATTCAGACGTAATCCTGTGGCTTAATTTCATTAGTCTTGCAAACAACATTTAGACGCCCAGCGTGTGGTCCACCGTACAAATGGGGTTATAACCGCGCATTCCTGCGACTTCACCCCCTGCGCGCTACGACGCGACTGCTGTGATCACTTTACAACCCTCATAGCTGTTAGTTAAACACACGACAGGCGAGAAAGAATGAAAGTAACGCCAAAACAAAAACACAAAGTCGCGTAACTAAAGCAATACAGTAAAAACTTCAAATGTCACAGTTGCGCAAAAGAAATTAATAAACAACAACAAAAACATACGTTTTTGTAAACTCACTGAGCTGATTCGCTCTTTTTCACACATCCAAGAGGTGTTTCACAATCAGTAACAAGCTAATTTGAATCAGCGCACGTGTTAAGCCCAACAGTTCTTGGCCAGTGAATTCAAAACCACTGCAGCAAAGTGATGAACATCTGGAAGTCATGAAGAACTCCAGCAGGCCCACCCTCTCCCCAGAGTCACAGCAGTCACGGGGCTTTCATTTAATGAAGAATTTACCCCCAAACCGCCATCAGCACTCATTTACCCATCGAGCCTGTTTAAATATACGATTACAGCAATATTCAGGTAAAACACATAAAAGCTGTTTTATGACCTGATTTGTCTATAACAAAAAGGCGCGCGTCCGCAAATGAACACAGATTACATTAAAACTAATGTTTTTTTATTATTATTATTTTTTAATGTTTTCAACAACCAAGTGATTATATTTCTCATTAATTAAATATAATTCCACACGCGTGTCTCTGAACTCTGAGGATCACACATTGTGCGCGCTTCCCATTATAGATGCTTTTTATTTTCATATTCCTATAATAATAATAATAATAACATAAATCAACCAAAAAAAGCGAGCATTGTTTTTCAAATAAATGCACAGACTCAAGAAATAAGTCATATAGTAGCAATAAATCCGTTTTAAGTGATGAATCCCCATCGTAGTACCGTTACTTTGAAACTAGTAGCTTTGTACAAATGAGCAGCACAAAGACTAAGCATCACAACCATGAAAGCAAATGGAAAAACGACAGTGCACACGTATACAGTATAACTGCATGCTTTTCCCCATAAAAAATCAGGTTAAGCAGAAAGCATGCGTGTATTGTCACCTACCCCTTCCAGTGCCCTCAGTCGACAAGGCCAGCAGAGACAAAAACACCGCAGTCGAGGCGTGAGGCGAACCCCTCCCTCCGCTCTTAAAGAGCCACTCTTCCTTTAATCCCACAATCCTCCTCAAATAGTTGCCCTTCTTATTTTCACTTGAAAAAATCCTCGCAAAATAAAGCAATTGGTCAGTAACGCGAGAAACAACACACAACTAGCCTGCTTAATAGTCGCTCGGGAAACATATCGGTCATCATTCATTAGTATTAAACTCTGCTTTAACGCGGCTACATTGAATCGCTGTATTTGTGATTTGTGAGATTCGAGAACGCTGGTGAGATGCTAGGGACATGACGTCATAATGGCCTTACGTCACCGATCTACGATGACGAGGAGGACACCCGTCGTCCACATGCGGCTGTAAAACCACATTAAGATGATATGAATTTGCTATTAGGTCGCAGATGGACAGGCGCGGTTTTCTCGTTGTCTCGTTACATATCAATGACACGTTGACCATATGGAGGACGCTTTGAGAAGCAGACAATCAAGCTGTGAGGAGATTAATAAGAGCTGCATGTGAAAAGAAAAGAGGGTTCAAAAAACGGTTTTAAAGAAATATCTTCAACCGCCTATTTGTACATCTTAGTATATTTTTAAATATCTTAAAATATTATTTACAATATATTTACTATACATTGTAAATACACAGAATGTATATATTGTAAATAATATTTTCATTTATTAATAACAAATATACATTTAATATTTACATTTAATGTGCGCATCTATATCAGTATACATAAACGCTTAAAGCTTTTAATATATTAATATTTTTAAAATGACCTTAAAATATTATTTACAACACATTTACTACATTTGAATATTGTAAATAATATTTGTATTTATTAATATAAATAACATATTTAATATTTACATTTAATAGGTATATCTATATCAGCATACTAACAAATATACATTTAATATTTACATTTAATGTGCGCATCGATAATAAAGTATACATAAACGCTTAAAGCTTTTAATATATTAATATTTTTAAAATGACCTTAAAATATTATTTACAACACATTTACTACATTTGAATATTGTAAATAATATTTGTATTTATTAATATAAATAACATATTTAATATTTACATGTAATAGGTATATCTATATCAGCATACATAAACAATTTTTAATATACAACAGCTTTATTACAGCTTTTAATATATTAATATATATTTTTAAAATTACCTTATTTAAATATATTTACTATATAGTGAATGATCAATAATATACATAATACACATTTATTATTTACATGTAATGTGTATCTTCATCTATACATATTACTATTAAAAACATCTTAACATATTATTTACAATATATTTACTATACAGAGAATATACTGTAAATAATATACGTTCTATTAATAATAAATTAATACACATTTATTTATGTTTTATGTCTGTGTGTTTCTACATCTAAACATAAACACTTAAATAAAGCTACAGTTCAACAAAATGGGAGAAGTTTCTTTTAATATCAAAAGTAAAACTGAAAAGAAAAAGGACAAACATACAAATAAATAAAAAAAATCATTTTGGTTATTAAAAATACAGTATTTAGACCAGCAATTTGCACAGTATAGTGTCGAGACAGGCAGTAGAGGTCATACAAACATTAAAATAGTGCAAGACAGATATTACAGCAGTCCAGCTATAGTAGGTAGGCGAAAGTATTGCTAGTTCAGGACATTATCTACATTCAACAACCAAAATGGCAACATCTAAACCATTCTCCTTTTTCCAGTTTACATACTAGTGCATAACATGGATAGTATACATTACATTACTGTGCATTTACAATAACATGAACATTAAATTGAAAGTAGGACTGAGTGCAGCAGTGGCAGTAAAACTCAAAACAGTCAGTGCAGAACGTCAGTGTGCTCTTTTGTTAGTGCAGTGCAGAACTTTTTCCACAGTTAATCACTATATTAATGCCTTATGCTTCCTCCGTTACCCAAAGGGACATGCATCCAAAGAACGAGCCAGGGATCCCCACTATATACATTCTACAATCTTGAAACAAATCCAGCTTTTCCTTTTTTTTTGTTGCTTTTTTGCAATAAATGCTTGAGCCAACAGCAGAATTAGATTTAAAAACAGTTTGCGCAAATGACGTGAAAGATTAAACACGTCTTCTCTGAGTCAGTCAGTCTCTGGGCTCAGTCTGTCAGTGCTTAGTCTTCAAAAAGACAGAGCTTTTACAAATGCTTTAAGCCACTGAGTGCAAGCAGATAAATCAAACAGCACTACAAGGTTTTATGTGGGTTTTTACATATTGTTCCCCTCTTTCTCACACTCACAGAAGTGCACGAGACGGGGAAAGACAGCAGCAACAAACAAAAGGAGGAAATGCAGAGGAGCATCTGAATGCTGTGTGCTGGTTAGAACCTAAAATGATCTCCGACGTTGAGCAAGAAGCTCGTTTTTCTCTACTGATGACTACTTCGACCGGTTATTCTGCTGTGCCCATGAAGATCATAATGACTCTGTTTACAGCAGATAACCTCTCAGAGTAAACAGACTGAAGCTGCGGGAGAGAGAGACTGCCTCAGGAGGGCTTGTGCCTGAGAGAGGAATGTGCCATGTGTTTTAGTGTGTGGCTGGGGGTTGAATGATGGAGCGGGAGATCAT